CGGTTAGAAAACTAGTTATAGTGCAAAGAAGAACCATGAGTGTTTGAGGTGGCATCATGAGAACGGTGTATTGAGGTGTTGGTGAATTTTGGTTGAGTTTGAGATATCCCACATTGGTGAAGAGTTAAAAGATTTGAAGAAAATGAAGTGTATAAAAMGGGTGGATTTAGATGCTTTTGTGTCAAGTAATGGGTTTGCCTCATAGGGTTGTCTATCTTTGGATGACCCTCTTTGAAATCTATAACCATGRTTGGAAACCAAACAAACCAAATGGTAGAAATTATAGTGCAAAATCAATTATATATATATATATATATAAGTAACACCTTTGAGTGATGAGGTGTATAAGAATAATCTATATATATATATATATATATATATATATATATTAAAAGAAGAACCATAAGTTTTTGAGGTGGCATCATGAGAATAGTGTATTGAGGTGTTGGTGTGGTTGAGTTTGAGATATCCCACATTGGTGAAGAGTTGAAAGATTTGAAGAAAATAAAGTGTATAAAAAAGATGGATTGGATGTTTTTGTGTCAAATAATGGGGTTTGCCTCATAGGTTGTCTTTCTTTGGATGACCCTTTTGAAATCTATAACCATGATTGGGATGAAACCAACCTAATGGGAAAAAAAAAACTTTTTCTTTATATATATAAAAAAGAAAACCTTGGGGTATTGAGGTGACACTATGAGAATTGAGTATTCTCATATGATGAATTGTGATTGAGTTTTTGTTGTCTTACATTGATGAAGAGTTGAAAGATTTGAATAAAGAGAAATGTATAAGAAAAGTGGATTGGATGTCTTTGTGTCAAATCATGGAGTTTGCCACATAGGGTTGTCTTATTTTGAATGACCGTCTTTGAAATCTAYACCATGGATGGAATCAAAACCAACTAAATGGTAAAAATTATAGTGCAAATATAAAAGTGAAACCAAGGATGATGAATTGGCAACATGAGGTTTAAGTGTTTCTCAAATCTGAAATAAGGTTGACTTTCATCATCTCACATTGGTAGACAAATGATAGTTGGAAAGAAGATGATAGATGTATAAATGCGAGATAGAGCTTTGAAATCTATACAGATAGTTGAAATTAAAACCAACCAATTGGTAAAAGATTTGTGCMAAACGAATGCAAATCATACATTTTTTTCTTAACAAAATTTGTGATTATTGCAGTACTTATAATAACAAATKTAGCCTAAGTATCTATTATATCACTTATATATAGAATGAAAGTGTTGACTTAATGACGTGCTTACATCTTATGTTAGTATTMTCCGAATCGTGATTTACGGTGTTGGACAGGGCGTTATAAATATAAACATGATCCCAASTTTTCAGACACATCGCACTTCYGCTCGAGTCGAGGATTCTACATTTTTTTCCTTAAACTAAGTTTTGATCACCAACCAAACCAATAGGTATTGATGTGAAATCATGAGAATTGAGTACTGAGGTGTTGGGTTGTGATTGAGTTT